GGTGACGGTCTAAAAAATGGGGAATTGGGGTAAATCTAGAAATTCCACTTTTTGTCCTGGACAAAATTTATTTCTCAACTTTAACTCATAAAAAAAGCACAAAAAGAAATAAAAATCCACAAAACATAAAAAAGATACAATAAACAAAGCATAAACCAAACCAGATTATGTTTCATACGAAATTTTTTGTTGCATTGAGGGGTACGACCACCTGATGCAAATTGTCGAAGCGAATTTGAATAAACACTACTAAAAATAACATCTCAGAAGAATAAGAAGGAATTGAGAAACTTATAAAGAAAATAATTACCAATGAAAAATATTTACCCAATCAGTTAAAATTTATTTTAAAAAAGAAAAATCCTACGGGCTTTGTTTATATTATGCTTCATTGCTAAAAAACAAACTGCAAAGGTTTTGCATGTTTTACATAAAATTTATTTTATGATCTCAGGAGAAAGTCCATCGCATTTTCTAATAGAAAATTGGCAGTGATTCATGAAAATATGTACGTGCAAATGATGCCGTTTTATCTATATTTTTTTTACATTTTTATTATTACGTTAGATCCAGCTTGCTTTCTTTTATTTTGTATACATACAATTTTTTTAATAGAAAATCTCTAGACTGTTTTTGGTATCCTAATTTATTTATGTTTTTTAAAAAAGGAGCTGTAAATTAAATACTCGTATCAAAATGTCGGCCGATAAGTCGATTACATAGAAATGTTATTTTATCCTAAATTGCAAATTCTAGGAAAATTATGTTTAAAAAAAAAATATTTTAGACGAAAAAAATATTCTCTTGATATTGCTTATTTTTCGATTAGAACCAAAACAACAAGAGAATAATTCCGTTGGTAAAACTTTTAAATATGCATCAGGTTTGTTATTGTTTCTAGGAACAATTAATAATATATAAAAAAAATGCTTCAATTTTCATAATGGAATAAATTGACAGAAACGTAGTATAATAGATTTATGATAGAAATTCAAATTTCTGTTTGTTATGTACGATATAATGTTCCATATTCATGTATTCCTTCAAATTTTATGCGCGTACGTCATATAATATATCAACAATAGTATCGCAAACCAGAATACTTTGTAGAGTTAAAAGAGCTTTTCCTTTGATTTTTTTTTGGATTTTTTTTCCAGCATATAAAGCGCCTAGAGTCGAAACGATTGGGATTTGAATTGTCAGAGAGCGCAGGTAATGAAAAGTAAAAAATTAGAAATAGGCTCGGTCAATTGTTGACAACTTTGCTTATTAAAACCACAACATTAAAGGCGATTAGATGCCCCTATGGAAAAATAACTACTATCGCCATATAGATTTTTTCTGGGAATTACTATCAATTTTTATCTGTAAAGAGCGAATGCCGAAGGCCTTTCCCATGAGCTGGACTTTCCAAGATACATTTGAGTAACATTTTAACATTAAATTGATACGAGGGACTTTATTATCATGCTTTTGAAAAAAAAAAAATTAATAAATAAATATGATATGTATATTAAATAAGTTTTTTACTAGGAGCTATTGTACTGATAAACGCCTATCAATCGGTCGTGTTCATCTGTAAATGAATTTACGAAAATAATCCCAAAAAACCAGGACGAAATAGAACAATTTTGTACAATTTTTTTTCAAACAATTTTACAATTTTTTTGTAGTAATTTTATAATCTTTGTCTTCCCTTTAATGAATCCTCCCATTCCCACATGACCAGCATGTGAAATTGCATAAAGATTCATCAAGATCCTTTCAGTGAGGGTCGAAGAAGTCGAAAGCACTGTCGAGGGTTAAATCAACCCTTGAAAAGCCCATGGATTAGATCGGATTATCGGTCTGATTCTCAACGAGCTGCCTGGAAATGTATGGTCCAGATGATCGGCATCAATCATCTTAAATATGTACTACAAAGATTGGAAGACTGTTGAGGTCATCAGGATCCCTAAACCAGGACGTTTTCTCTTAAAAGATACGGTCGGATGGTTTTCTTCTGGATAATTTGGTTTACAAAGGAGTGAAATCGATTTGCAAATGAATGAATATGCATTACAAAAGGGTGAATTTAATTGACAAAAAGGTGGATTTAACTTACAAAGGGATGAATTAATGGTAAAAGGGTGAAATTGTTCTATTAAAGAACTAAATTATCTTGCAAAAGCGTGAATTTAAATAGCAAAAGGCTGAATGTAATTTGCAAAAAATAGGGAAATTTATTAGGAAAAGGTGAATTTAATTTGCCAAAGGGTAAAATTGACTTGTTAAAGGGTGAATTACCTTTCAGAAGGGTGAATATTGGCCAAAGGGTGAAATTGATTTGCAAAATATCTTGCACATGTGTAAAATTATTTCTTGAAAATTGGAATTTAATAGGCAGAAATTTAAATTTAATTTTCAAAAGGTTGAAATTGATTTGTTAAAGCGACAACATAGCTTGCAGAAGGGTAAATTTACTTCGCAAAAGCCGAATTTTATTTGTAAAAAAGTGAAATTGATTAGATACAGGTGAAAAGTGAAATCAAAGGATGAAATTGATAAGTAAAATGTCAAACTGACTTGTTAAAAGGTGAACGTTTCTTTCAAAAATGGTGAATTTAATTTGGCAAAAGGGTGAAATTTTGGCAAAAGAGTGAACTTAATTGGCAAAAGATTGGCTTTAATTTGCGAAGGGTAAATTTAATTGGTCAAAGGCTGAATTTAATTAATAAAAGACAGACTTTAATTGGCAAAAAGGATTTAATTTGTTTGCAAAAGGGTGAATTTAATTGACAAAAGAGCCAATTTAATTAGTAAAAGAATGACTTTAATTGGCAAAAGATTGACTTTAATTTTCAAAGGGTGAAATTTGTTTGTAAAAGGCGAATTTAACTGGTAAAATTCTGAATTATTGACCAAAGGGTGAAATTTGTCAGGAAGAGGATGAATTTAATTGACGAAAGGGTGAATTTAATTAATAAAAGACTGACGTTAATTGGCATAAAGGATTTAATTTTTTGCAAATGGTGAAATTAATTGGTCAAAGGGTGAAATTTGTTTGCAAAAGGGTGAATTTAATTAGTAAAAGAATGACTTTAATTGGCAAAAGATTGACTTTAATTTTCAAAGGGTGAATTTAATTGACAAAAGGGTGAAATTTGTTAGCAAGAGGATGAATTTTATTGATCAAAGGATGAATTTAATTAATAAAAGACTGTCGTTAATTGGCATAAAGGATTTAATTTTTTGCAAATGGTGAAATTAATTGGTTGAAGGGTGAAATTTGTTTGCAAATGGGTGAATTTAATTGACCAAAGGGTGAATTTAATTAATAAAATACTGACGTTAATTGGCATAAAAGATTTAATTTGTCTGCAAATGGTGAAATTAATTGACAAAAGAGCGAATTTAATTAGTAAAAGAATGACTTTAATAGGCAAAAGATTGACTTTAATTTTCAAAGGGTGAAATTTGTTAGCAAAAGGGTGAATTTAATTAGTAAAAGAATGACTTTAATTGGCAAAAGATTGACTTTAATTTTCAAAGGGTGAATTTAATTGGCAAAAGGGTGAAATTTGTTTGTAAAAGGCGGATTTAATTGGTAAATTCTGACTAATTGAACAAAGGGTAAATTAATTGACAAAAGAGTGAATTTAATTAGTAAAAGAATGACTTTAATAGGCAAAAGATTGGCTTTAATTTTCAAAGGGTGAATTTAATTGACAAAAGGGTGAAATTTGTTTGCAAAAGGCGGATTTAATTGGTAAAATTCTGACTAATTGACCAAAGGGTGAAATTTGTTAGCGAGAGGATGAATTTAATTGACCAAAGGGTGAATTTAATTAATAAAAGACTGACGTTAATTGGCATACAGGATTTAATTTGTCTGCAAATGTTGAAATTAATTGGCCAAAGTGTGAAATTTGTTTGCAAAAGGCTGAATTTAATTGGCAAAAGACTGTCTTTAATTTTCACAGGGCGAATTTAATTGTCAAAAGGGTGAAATTTGTTCGCCAATCATTAAAAGACTGTTTTTAATTTACAAAAAGCTAATTTTATTGGCAAAATGGTGAATTTAATTGGCAAAATATTGACTTTAATTTTCAAAGGGTGAATTTAATTGGTAAAATTCTAACTTTAATTGACCAAAGGGTGAAATTTGTTTTGCTAAAGTGTGAATTAAATTGGCATAAGATTGGCTTTAATTATCAAAGGGTGAAATTTGTTTGCAAAAGGGTGAATTTAATTGACAAAAGACTGTCTTTAATTGGCACAGGGTGAATTTAATTGGCCAAAGGGTGAATTTAATTAGTAAAATACTGACTTTAATTTACAAAAAGCTTAATTTTATTGGCAAAAGGGTGAATTTAATACTAAAAACCAGTATAAACAACAAATGTATATTAATTTCCCTTTACACAGCTGTTTTCTGTGAATCTAGCTCAATTCTTGCTTCAACAGGTTTTTAATTAATTTCTACCTATTAATGTTTTTTTAAGAAGAAAAGGATGGAAATTATGAACATGTGAATGTAACAAGTATAGAAGTTTTAAATTAGGCGTGCTGCTTCTGTATAATTTAATATAATTAAAACTAGGGTCGGTCTTTTATGGTGGTATATGCACCACGGTGTTGAATGATAAGGGTGGTAAATGTGAACGTAGGATGTCAAATCGGCTGGAATTGGAATTGTACGGGTTTCGGAAAGGGCCTGGGTCCGGACAACACGGCCGGAGACGGGGCGGGTCCAGGTGAAAGGGAAAAAGCGTGGAGTGGATGACGAGTGGATAATTCCCCAGACGTCTGGGTCTGGATGCCGGCGAGACGTCTTCCGAAGGGGGGTCAGGCGGTGGAAGCGAAGAGAGGCAGGAAGGAAGGAAGGGCGCGGGTGAGGACGCGGCGGAGGCGGCGCGGCGGTGGCGAAAGGGCAGGGAAAAAACCCCGAGGGCGACGGGGGTTGTTTTGATGCCGAGAGGGGGCGGAGTGGGTGTGTCTGTCTGGAAGGCGTTTCCCATGAATGAGCTCCCGCGGCGGCTCGAATCGATCCGCGCCCGAGTTGTACTCCACCGCGATCTGCGACGTAGTAATCGTACATCTCTCGTGTCCGTGGCGGCTTCGCCTCCGCCTCCGCCTCCGCAGGCCAGTTCTCTCCAGAAGAATCGTTTCTACGATTAGCCCAGATCGGAGATCATCCCAGGAACGGAGAAAGCAGCCGACAACCGCCTTTTCTCGACGAGCGTGACGAGTCCGACGGCACTCCGCCCGACGTCCAACGAACGCCGTTCATCAACCGTGTGGGTCCGCCTCGTTTCGCTCCTTTCGCAAACATTTTTCCCCCTTTACGACATGCCGAGCCGCCGTTCAATGAAACGTCCGCATGATTCATGCATGACGTAAAATTCATTCCTTGTGTCAGTAACTCGGTATCGAGTTGTAAGGATTGGATTGGCGCATGCGTCCCACTTGTTTACAACTAGTCTCGACATGTACACACAGTCACACATGACCTTTTCCAAGATGGTTCCTCATACGTATTTTGTTGAATATCGTTCGTCCACAAGTGGAAAAAAGAGTGTCGTCCAGTTTTACGATGTGGCCGATTCGAGAGTGGAACGCGACTGCGAGATACGCCGACTGTTTTGATGTCAATCTCACGACTAGGGATCAATTGCAATTGCGCGTTATTTTAGGTTCGATTCGAGCACATTTTCAGTGTGTGTTTTAAATATAATATTGTACGAAAGGGACGGACTTTTTCCCCGTTTTCTCGCCCCTTTTGTCGCCTTTAGCCAATTTTATCGACTTTTTTAATTAGTTCCCGTTCGGATTTACAAGTCGAGTCGGACCGTTTTGTGTACATATTTACAGGAAATGCCATCAGTCGACTTGTAATATTTACCTGTTTCGATATTGCGCATAATTTTTTCTTCTCAAACAGATCGTTTTATTTCATATCGGGCTGTGTTTCGGTTTTAGGCACGAGTCCGTCGTTGTGATTTCCCGTTCTTCCCGTCGACGGGTTGTGTTTTATTTCTCTTAAAAAAAAAAAAAAAAAAAAAAAAAAAAAAAACCGTACTCGGGTTTATTAATAAACATTTCGACCTTATGAGGACACACAGTGTTTTGGTGCCTTTCGATCCGCACGAGGATGGTCGAGAAACATTCCTTTTGACGCTTTAAACTCTCGAATCCAGCGTTTTATTTGTAAGTATGATCATTAATATTTTTCTTTTTTTTTTTTAATTTCCTCATCCGCAGAAGTTTGACATGTTATCTTTTCGATATTGCGATCCCCGGTGGGGACGACGAAGATAATTGCGTTTCGATTCCCGTAACGGGACAACAGCCTTGTTTACCTATTGGAAAATATTGCCCACCTCGAAAGTCACAATAAACAGAAAGGTCCTTGACCATTGCGCATTTCCTGACATCCTCATGGACGATTTCTCGCCGAGGACGGCCCACGACGTTGTGCGAGGATTTGCGAATTGCCGACGTCGACGCAATCCGAAAGCAGTTATCCACGGTTAAAACGCAATTTTCAACGAAAATAATATTCAACTCGAACCGTTTCAACCTTGTAAGCCAGAATTCAAAACACAACAAACGTGTTGATAACTTAAAACCCAAAATTTCATCAACATTTTCCTTCATTTTTGCACGAAATCATCGAACCAATTAAGAGAGTTTAAGGGTTACAACATACTTCAACCCTCTCGATCAGAATTAAACGCAGTAAACATGTTGTGGAATGCTAAGCAATATTTTAAAGTTCCAGCATGTTGATGTTGTTTCAAATTTTAGGGTTACAGCATGTTTTAACTTCATAAACCTTAAACTAACCTAGTAAACATGTTAAAAAAATATTAGACCACTTTTTTTACGCGTATCAATTTGTTGTTTAAATTTAATAGGCTTCGACGCATTTTCAACTTTATTGTACTCTTACAAACATTTCTGGAAGGTATGCTGAACCTCGTTTTAATCATTCTTTGATTAATCAAAGATTTTCCACTTCATTCCATGGTTAAATTCTTGATTTAAAAATAGTAAACAAGTTGGGATGTGATAGAACACATTTTAAACTTAAAGTATGTTGATGATTTTTTCAATTTAAGTGTATAACATATTTTAAATTCAGTATTGAAATTCATGAGGCTTGACGCATTTTCAACTTTATGTACTCTTACAAACATTTCTGGAAGGTATGCTGAACCTCATTTTAATCATTCTTCGATTAATCAAAGATTTTCCACTTCATTCCATGGTTAAAACCTTGATTTAAAAACAGTAAACAAGTTGGAATATGATAGAACACATTTTAAACTTAAAATATGTCAATGCTTTTGTTCTTCCAATTTATGTGTATAACGTATTTTAAATTCAGTATTGAAATTCATGAGGCTTGATGCATTTTCAGCCTTATCGTACCCTTACAAACATTTCTGGATGGTATGCTGAACCTCATTTTAATCACCCTTCGTTTTCCACTGCATTCCATGGTTAAAATTTAAACACAATAAACAAGTCGGGATATGATAGACAACATTTAAAAGTTCCAGCATGTACATATTGTTTTCAGTTTAAGTGTTGTAACTTATTTTGAATTCAATGTTCAAATTCATGAAGCTTGACGCATTTTCAACATTATTGTACCCGTACAAACATTTCAAGAAGGTCTGCTTAACCTCATTTTAACCATTCTTTGATTAATTAAAGATTTTCCACTTCATTCCATGGGTAAAACCTTGATTTAAACACAGTAAACAAGTTGGGATATGATAGAACTCTTTTTAAAGTTCCAGTATGTTGTTGTTTTCAATTTAGGTATTTAACATATTTTAAATTCAGTTTTGAAATTCATGAGACTCAACGCATTTTTCAACTTTATTGTACCTTTACAAACATTTCAGGAAGGTATGCATGCTGAACCTCATTTTAATCATCCTTAGATTAATTGAAGATTTTCCACTTCATTCCATGATTAAAATTTAAACGCAGTAAACAAGTTGGGATATGATAGACCAAATTTAATTGTTCCAGTATGGTAATGTTGTTTGCAATTTAAGTGTTGTGTCATATTTTAAATTGAATGTTGAAATAAATGAGGCTTGACGCATTGTCAATTTTGTGTCTGCTGAACCTCATTTTATTGATTCCTCAGTTCATTGAAGATTTCTATTTTATACTATGGTTAAAAGCTTGATTTAATCACGGTTAATATGTTGGGGAATGCCAGATCAACTTTTACAGTCCTAGGATGTTGATGTAGTTTTCAATTATAACATATTTTAACTTAATAAAATATAAACTAACCCAGTAAACACATTTTTTTTAAATGTTGCACCACTTTTTTGCTTATCAATTCGTAGTTGTTTAAATTCAAGGGGTGCAACACATTTTCATCCTTATTGTATCCTTACAAACATTCCAGGATGGTCTGCTGAACCTCATTTTAATCATTCTTCATGATTGAAGATTTTCTACTGCATTCCATGGTTAAAACTAGATTTCAATTACAACATATTTTAACTTTATAAATCATAAATTTACCCCGTAAACAAGTTAAAAATGTACCACATTTTTATGCTTATCAGTTCGTTGTTTAAATTCAAGAGCTTTCATGCATTTTCAACCTTATTGAACATTCCAGGAAGGTTTGCTGAACCTTGTTTCAATCATTCTTCAATTGACTGAAGATTTTCCAGCATTCCATAGTAGAAAACTATTTGAATAGACTAAACTAGTTAATTCCATGTTTCAAAACTTGAATTGAACAGTGAACAAGTCAGGAATGTTTGCTGCACCACGTTTTTGTTTCATGTTTATTCAATTCATTGTTGCTAAATTTTAGGGTTCCAGCTTATTTCAAGTTTATTGTAAATCACAGTCATTCTGGGAATGCATGCATGAACCGCATTTTACTGATTATTTAATTTATTGAATAGTACTGTTTTCTATCATTATAAACTAAAAATTGAACCTACTTGAAGATGTGTGCTGAATGACATTTCACTCTTTTTTTAGTTGTTTGTTTGTTTTAACTTTAAGGATAAAAATTTAATCTTGAAGTAAACAAATTGAGAATGCTGAACCATTGCAGTTTCAATAACATATTGGCATTGTTATTTAAGAATTACAACTTATTTCAGCATAATGGGTATGCTAAACCACATTTTAGTGACTCATTTTATTTTTTTATTGATTGGAGTTGTGTTTCATCGTTATGAACTTGGATTGAAATCTGTAAACAAGTTTAGAATCTACTGTGAATCCCTTTTATTATGTGAATTACATTTTCATCAAGTGTTGTTTTAATTTTAAGGTTTCCCACTTTATATGCCAGAATTGTACCGAGTTTGTGAACAAACGCAGTACCTTAATCAACATTTTCAATAATGTATTGTTTGCATTTAGGGTTATAACATACTTTAACTAACCTACCCATTAAATAAGTCAAAAATATTGCACCACCTTTTAGTTTTATCAATTCATTGTATAAATTTAAGGATTCTGACGAATTTTTCAATCATGTAACTGGCAAACTAACTGTAATGTATGCTGAACCACGTTTTAATGATTCTTTAATTGGTTGAATATCCAGCATTCCACAGTTAAAAACTTTATTTGAATAGACAAATCTAGTCAAAAAATGTGTCTTGCACCATTTTTTTAAAAAGGATTATTTGATTCATAGTTTTAAATTCTAGGCTTCCAGTCTATTTCCACTTCATTGTAAAATGCAAACACTGGAAGCATTACTTTTAATGTTACTTTTTGCTGATTATTCAATTTATTGAAAGGTTGGCAGTATTCTGCCATTATAAACTAAAAATTAAACCTAGGAAAGTAGTTTCTTTAGTTTGTTGTTTTAATTTTATGTATAAACTTTAAAAATTATATTATATTTTTATTTAAGGATTTCAACAGCTGAACCACATTTTAGTTATTCTAAAAAATATATATATATTTTTTTTTATTGAACGTTTTATCAATTTAAAGTTGAATTGAAATCAATAAAAAGTTAAGGATCTGTGGTGAATCATTTTGATTACGTGAACTACATTTTCTACAATTTGTTGTTTTAATTTTAAGGATACTGATTTTATATGCCAGAATTAAAACAAGTGAACAAATTGAGAATGAACTATAATTTCAACAATGTGTATGCTGAACCAGATTTTACCGATTCTTTGTTTCAATTTTTTGTTTATTTTTAATTTTTTTAATTCTAAGTGATTCACTATGGTTCAGCCTTGTCAACTAGAATTGAACCGATTAAACATGTTAAGATTATTTGCTGAGCCATATTTTACATTTTTTTTTCCGTGTTTTTAAAATTTCTGGTTTTTGCCGTTTTGAACCATAAATTTAAATGAATCCAATGTAAATTTTTTTTGGTCTTGATGCTTTTATTGACTTCAAGAACTGGTGAATTTTTGAAAAGCAAATCAGAAAACTTTTTAGTACAGATTAAGTCAAAGGAATTTTCTTTGAAGTAACCAAACCGAAGAGTGCCTGTCCTTCATTATTAACTTTTCTTACTTGGTTTGTGTCTAAATTTAAGGTGTGTCTAATATCCATCAACATTACCTCTGATATATTTCTGTGATTTAAAAGAATGTACTTTTTTCAAAAGCCATTCAACTTACTTGATTTTAATTTGTCAAAATTTAGCTGCATAAGATACATAATTTGTACAAAAGTGTTTGTTACTTTATTGAACCTCTTGACTCTTAATGAATGAAATTTTTGGAATTATCAGTTGTATTGTTCTTATCTATCCAAAATACAACAACAAAAAATTATAACAACTTCTCACACTGTAAATGACAAAATTTCTCAATATATTTTAATTAATATTCTAGCTTTTGCTAATTAAATAATTTTGGCTTTATTTCAACAGCTGGCAATTAAATTTGAGTGTATTGTTAAATTTATCGGTCATTTGATAAAATTAAGAACTCATGAAAAAATTGATGATTGAATTTACAACTAGATTTAAAATTGATTAGAAGAAAAAAAAAAAACCCATTCTGTGTACTGGATGGAAGACCGGATTCTGTAATTTAATCCTTACCAATCATCTTGATCTTACCTATCCTCACTGATCCAGCATTTCGCCGTCTTCAGTGTTTTTTTTCATCAATAACGGTTAAAATTACATGTTTATCACAGTGCAGACCATAGAAGAAAATCTAATGATTTACTAGGCCTATGTTAAAATTTAACCAGCCAGCGAGATGTGGTCTCTGGGAGAGAGGAAGCAAATCCATCATCATTGATTATTCTTGCCTTGCTAAGAACAGTACAGCCTATAGTCACAACGGGGTTTGGCCTAGCTCTCGATCTCGGGCTAGTCTACCTGTTGAGTTTATGACTGTGGTATAAATGTATACATGTGTACAAATTAACTGAATATCAAGACTAATAAGGATAATTATACAATTTTAATCCAGTATTAAAAAAATTAAAATATTACCATTTTAAATGACAATATATAAAATAAATCCTTCCTTGACTTTAAAATTCATAAAAATTATTCTTGCCTAAAACCTTAAAGTAGTTTTGCAACTGTTACTACTATAGAATAATTAACTGTAGTTTTTTCTTTATTTGCTGACAAAAATTTTAACAGCCTTGGCCATTTTGGTTGCCATGGCGGAACCCAATTTATCACACAAATTAACTCTCTGGTACTAAATAATAATGTAAATGATTTTTTTATTTTTATTATGTTTATCTAAGTCAGATAAATTATATAACGCAATAGTTGCATCCCATGCAGCTCTAACTAAATAAAGTAGGCAACCCTTAGAACGTTCGTTCAACAGTGTAGTTGAATAAAAGTCGTTTCAACTTTCTACAATATTTTTTTCCTTTATTTTACATAATTATAAAAAATAGGTAAATAATTAATAAAAATAACGAAACACAAAGAAAAGCAAATTACATGATTTTCATGGAATAAACAAAAAATCACTTACAGTCGGAAAAAAATTGAAACGACTGGCCAGAAAGGCAGCCCCTAGGAATTTCGAACCGTATTGAGTAGCGGGTGATGTGGAGAATTTAAAAAATATTAATAGGAGGATGCAGACAGTACACCAGAAGGACAGTTGGCATAGGATAGGTTTATTCACAGAAGTATCTTGCACACTCCACTTCAAATAATAGAAAAACATAAAATGTAAACTACACAAAAGACTACTTGAAAATCATGTACTAATACATATATAGATATATATTTTTTTAAATAAATTGGTTTTCATATATACTTTTTTAAGGATGTCGGTGGCATCAATGGTTTAGGCGTTGACACAGCACTCATCGCTGAAAGTGTAAGGTATAGTCTTTGGGTTCAAATCCAGTGGCCTGGCATGCAAATGAGATTTTTTTAAACTAGCACCCCATTAAAAAAAATCTCATTCCTATACAGAAATGTTTTGTTGATAGTTATGTTATTATTTATTTATTTTTTAAATCTAGTTATTACTTCAAAGTCCTTGAATTGAAATAAACCGTAAACACGATCATATTTTACATTAAATGTAAACAATAAAAAAAATACATTAAAATTTAAAATAAATCATAAATATTTACAAGGAATTTTTTTTAAAAGTGCAGTAATTAAAAAAAAGTTTAAGTTGTTAAATATATTTATATTTTTACTTTAATTTTCAGTGTGTTTCCAATAACCAATTTGCAATATAAAATTGTTAAATTTTTTAAATTAATTCTCACTATTAATTTTCCTTAATTGCATCACATTCTATATAAATATATTTATCTTCTTGGATCGTTAATTGGGTAGATTGTAAGATTAACTATAAACTATCTTGATCGATGTTTAGAAGTTAGTGTAGGATGAACTTTCTTTTTAATGAAGCCGTTGCAAACAGTTTGTTCAAAATATGTGAGGGTAAATGGTTTTTAATGATCCCGACGTATCGTATGTATTACGACTTGATTAATTGTCCAATAAATATAAATTTTAAAAAACGGCCTTGCTGCTAGAAGTCATCGGAAATGTTTTCTCTCTTTCGAAGAATTCTCATTTAATGAATGATATGAATCAAGCAGAACCAATTTACACATTGTTGTGCAGTGGAGAAGGGGGCTTCAGTTAAAATAGATTTCCTTTTGACAATTACAAATTAAATCAAACTTAAATTCTTGTTTACACTTCAATACTCCATTATGTCAAGTGTTTTCCATTTGTTCGATCGACTGATAAGAAAAATGTATTAAAAAAAATTTGACACATTCTTCTGTCATCATCAAAATCAACCATGAAAAAAAAAAGATTAGCCAATAAAATAATAAAATATGTACATAATTATTTTCTTTTTTCATTTTTTAAAATATTAATTAAAATAGGAAATGTTAAAATTTAGTCATTACCGTTTGTTTTAGTATTATTTTTATAATTTTGGAGATTTTTTGCAGTACTTGAAATTGTCCTTCAGCAATCTGGTGACATCTAGCTTCTCTATATTTTTATTTACACCTATTTAATTTATTTGATAATACATTTTTTTAAACAATTTATTACTTTAGTAAAAAAAATTTCTCCAGAATAGTAACAAATACTAATATGTTTTTGAAAATAGCACACTTACTTTTTCAGAATTTTCAATAGGGGGTTTTATATTACGTGATCTGTGGGGTGATAAACCTGTAATTGGTCATTACATCATTTTTGATCAACTAATCTTCACTGGATTAAAAAATTACTATACACATTACTGTTGAGTTTTGATGTAATTATCTTTTACAAAATTTTTTTTTTACAAAAGTGTATAGATATATTTATTTATATTTTTGCGTAATATCTTAGGTGGTTGGTAAACGTGTCCTTTTCTGAGTTTAAAAATGTATAAGGGTTTCATTTTGTCAATAAATCAGACATCGAACAGTCAATGCTAAGTTACCTGTGCAGTGATGAATATGTAATTGATGATTATTGATCATTTTTGGTTTGCTTATCCGCACTGTATTAGTCTGTCAGAATTGTTTTTGGCATTTCACAATTTTCAATGTTCAAAAAATGCTGAAACACATCTGACAGACCAACCCGGTGAGGATAGGCAGGCAAAATTGATTGTATCTTCATTATTATCTGTTTAAATAGACAAAAAATTATAGGTGAGCACAATAATGCAAAGTCCGATGGGTGAAATTGGCGAAATGTCTATACGAATGACAAAACCTCAATAAAATATTTGAAATGTATTTTTACTTAGCTGTCATCAATTTCTCATTTTTTTACGTTTGCTTAATTATGATTTGACAAATATTTGTCAATAAATTGTGCAAGTATTTTATAAGAAATAGAGTATTTTTCAAACAATATTAATTCAGAAGAGATTTATTTATTTTAATTAATCAATTTTTTTGTAAGTTAAGACAAATTAGTTGAGGGTGACAGTTCTCATTTTAATTCTACTGATTTATTTTAAAAACATTTGTACTTAATACTTATTGTCTGTATTTATTATTGTTACTGCCCTTATTCAGTTTATTGATTTTTTGTGTTTTGTTCCAGATTTATTAGTCTAATAAAATTTAAGTAACCAAAATGTTGTCGAAAAACACTGGTACAAAAGCTTTAACTGGAGGAGATATTGTTAAGGAGGGTTATCTGAAGAAATTCAAGGCAAGGGCAAGTATAATAGTGAGTTTAGGCATTTTCATCTGTTATATTTAAATATAACCCCGTGTTGTACAAAATTAATATTTTTGCATCTTTTTAGACTATGAGAAAGAAATACTTCGTCCTGAGGGGAGATTCAGCAGAAGATTCTGCGAGATTGGAGTATTACGATTCGGAGAAAAAGTTTAGGTCTAATTGTCCTCCTAAAAGGTACAGCTGTTTTATTTTATTTATTTATTTTATACCGTTGGTTTAATTATTTTTATTTTAGGAGTATTACGTTAAAAACGTGCTTTAACATCAATAAACGGAGTGATACAAAGCAGAAGTATGTTATTGCTCTGTACACTAGAAATGATTGTTTCTGTGTCGTTCTGGAAACCGAAGAAGAAATGGTGGACTGGCTCAAGGCTATGCTGGAACTCCAGATAGGTGAAGCCACTCCTGTAGGGGATCCCATTCGGCCAAACTTTGGTAAATTTAATTTTTAACCTATTTTAACCTTTAATTTTCAAAAAAAAAAATTGTTAATTTATATAATTACAGAACATGTATGGCAAGTGACGGTGTGTAATAAAGAGCTGGGAGCGAAAAGAGGCATAGTTGGCCTCTATCGACTTTGCCTGACTGACCAGTCTCTATCACTCGTGGGACCCATTTCATCCGAAGACAGGATAAATTCAATTGAATTTTCCGTAAGCATCATTAAAAAAAAAAAATTCAGAATAAAATTCAAAATCGAGGTTTTTTAATTGACAATTTAAATTTCAGCTTCAGAAAATTCGCCGTTGCGGTTGGGTAGACAACTTTTTTTACATGGAAGTCGGCCAGTGCACTGTCACAGGAGCCGGAAACTTGTGGATGACAGCTGAGGATCCCAACATTGCTGAAAACATATCCACAACCATTTTGAAGTAAGTATTTCCATTCCCCCCCCTCACCCGTTACACATCAGTGCCGAAAGTAATCAATTTCATGCGATTTTAGTGCCTGTATGAAGTGCCCGAAGAAAGATTCAATACAAGCAAAGATTCGGAATCACCGAATGGGCCAGACAAATGAATCTTCCAAGCCGATTACACTCATTCAAAGATGGCCTACCCATACCGGTATATATTATCTATTTTTATTAGTCCTAGATAATATTATCCTTGATAGTATGATCATTATTGAAAAGAATTTGAAAAAGATATTTTTTAAAGAACAATTATGCATATGAGTGTTTTATGAATTGAAAGTGTTCAAGAATGATTGATTTTCCTCTAATTGAGGCTTTTGTCCAGTTTTCCTTATTTAATCCTAGTTATGTATTTTTTAAATAATCAAACACAAATTTGAATTCAATTCAATTTATACCTTTGTAATGTCTCATTTTCTTTTCATACACATAATTCGCAAGTTCAAACCCCTGCTTATCTTTTTATTTTTTACAAGTTTGTTTTTTAATTTCTTTATATTGTTCAACTGTTGTTCTAGGCTTTATTTTATTGTGAATTATGCTGAGAGAGAATTGTCCGCCTTTTTTTTTTAAATACTCTTCACCTCTTGTTACTAATAATTGTAATGATTTATTGTGTCGACATTCAACTCGGGAGTGAATGCTTAAAAAACAATTCTTAAAATAAATAGCTTATTTTGGCTCAAAATTGAGCATAGGAAAAAAATGTAATATAAATATTTGTATATAGTGGTGAGTAAGAGAAATGACTGTTTTCAACTTTATTAAATGTTAATTTGATTTTAAAAAAAATATATTTGAACAAACTGGTAGAGGTTGTAAATATACAAAAAGTAGCAATGTTCAGGTCTACCATTTGTAGTGATAACAGGGGCTATGCGAGACATTATTGAGGGCCATCTGAAAAAAAACATTTGTCAAATGATTTACAGCCAATTCTGAATCATCACCTGCACATTTTAATAAAATGTGAAAAGTAAATAAGAATAGATAAGTATCAAAGGAACTCGCCGTGCAGTTGAACACAATAGACACAGTTTCTCCTTCAAAATCCAAATGATTCATCAAAAGTTAATTGTAATCTGTGTAGAAGGATCAAGACTATAACTGAACAATTTTCAGTATTTTGACATTTTATAAAAGTTACCTTCCAAAAGAGGAATCAATCAGTTCTGAAATCTATTTGAAATAAAACTTTCTACATGAGATTTTGAAAGAACAATACCTCGTTTTGTTGAATAGAGGAAAAGTTTTCGACAAGACTTCTTGGCTATAATATAAAAGGCTAAAGGTGGGCGCACAGTAGGTTGGTAGTGTGTGCTGGGGCAGGCGGAAATCATTGAGTTCGGGTATATTTGGCTGCCCTCAGACACCATTTTTGTCAAGACAAAGCCAACATGTTGCATTGTTTACTCCGATTATTGGAATAGTAGTAGCATTGTTTCAAGATAAGTTTAAAAACAAGATCATTTAAAATAATGGTACTATTCTCCAAACGTAAAAGCGTTTGGTGTTTATTTCATGTACCCATGCTTTTCATTTTTGTTTCTGACTTTCTTCCTCTTCTTCCAACTGCGACCACGGCCAGAAAAATAATTTCCTCATCACTACTATTTAAGTTTTGAGGATTGAAATTCATGAAATTCGAAGGCACCGGCGAAACGTTGAAATGTAGTGGATGGCTGAGAGAGCAAGTCGAAGTAAGACTGCTTAGACTACTAAGACTTTCCTCATCACTACTATTTATTATGAGTACAATCATTGACTTGGGGGACTCCTGCAAATGCAAAATAAACACTAAGCTGGTCAGATGGAGAGAGAAAATTCAACTAAAACGGTCTAGAGCAGTTCATACATAGTGTGCGGACCTTCCTCGCCACCCCACTGACCCAGTGGGCCCAGATTAAATCTTTATTTAGCTTTGAATTTCAAAAGGTTTCAAAAAGTGAATCTCTATCCTTTAGGTCCACATTATGCAGAACTCAGCATAAATTTTTGAAATGCGTGGAATTTTGCCATCTTTTAGACCTGAATTTGCAACATCAACTTTTCCTTCTTTTTTTTTTTACAATGATCTATTTCCTAAAGGGAAAAATGTTTGATGTGCTGGAAGGCAAATTAAAAGAGTAAATTAAGCTCCTGGTTTTTTGAACGTAATATCAGTATGATAAGCCATTTTTTTTAAGAATTTTAAAAATGTAAAATTTAATTTGAACTTGTTTGTTTTTTCTCCCTCCTCCGGCAAACTACAATGGTCATCACTAGCCTTTACTTCTTTTCTTGTCTTTCTCTTTTTTATTTGTTATTTCTTATCATGTTTCTCCAGCCAAGTTATGATGTTACATGATATAATGGTAACCAACTTTCTCTTTTCTTTATCCTATTACTAACCTCTCTGACCTCAGGACCTTGTCAGTCATGGATACAATTACACAAATAAACACATAACAAAAACATAATAGTCTAATAAGGTGATTGAGTATAAGCCCTGCCATTCACGCAAATAAATACATTCATCCAATAAATTACACTTATCACATACATGAAAGTTCCAAGATCTGTATACAATTAAAGACGTTTATGGCTCAGAAAATAGATCAGTGAATTGTGCCTGCTGCTGTTGTATTTCTTTCTTTGCTATTATTTTGTGCTCTGCCATGATAAGTGCTTAACAGGCACCTACCTGGCCTTGCCCTCATTAAAAGATGTCCATGTGTGATCTTGGCATGCACAATTATGTATGACCTTTTTCTAGTCCCAGCCTCCATAGGCCAAGAACTGATAATTTGGATACGTTCTTTTTGTTCCAGCGTATTCTCCATTCAGTTTTTATAGCATTAGCAATTGTTCTTTTCAATGCCGCTGGATGTACAGAGCAGGTAGGGTCTTGTGGTCTCATTGTGGCTAATTTCACTGCCTTATCTGCTTGTTCGTTCCTGGTTATATCAACGTGCCCGGGAACCCTTGCCAGGATGACCGTTTTCCCACTGACATTTTTTTTATTAATGACTGTGGATGTTCTTCTCCTGAGTTCCTGTATCGCGCTTCAGGAGTCTGCAAATTATAAATGTATTTTCTTGTTTTCTTTCAACAATCCTGAATGCAAGGTTATGGTATTCAGTGAGGGGTGTGACAGTATTTCTACCTCACTCACCATGCAAGCTTTGGTCCCACAACCTTTGCCATCTTGGGTCATCAATGTAGATGGGTCTAGCTTTCCTTCATTAGCAAGTGGATTTTATTCTTAAATTTTTTTTTTTTTGGGGGGGGGGTACTGTCTTTTAAACGGTTGAAGCAGTCATTATTTTACTCACTCCGAGGCATAAAAATGCGATATTTTTATGGTTCTTTATTTGTTATATGTTGTATAATTTGTGTCTGGTGTTGGCTCATTGTGTTTTTAATGTACATATGATTTTCGGAACTTTGTATACTTAAATTGTTGAAATTAAATCTTACTCTAAAGATATCCATGGGTTGTCGGTGGCCGCAACGGTTTAGACATTGATACGGTGCTCATCACTGTAAGGTAAAGGTCCGGGGTTCGAATCCAGCGACCCTGCATTCAAACCTGACATACTTACAAATGGGTTTTTATTTAAAGACACCGGCACCCTGAGGGTTCATGAGTGTATGATTTAATGTGATTTGGTGTTTAAAAACAACTTAATTATACAAATTAGCAAAATCAGTTATTTTTTGTGAATATATTGCAGTTGATGTTTAAAATACATGCTACTACAAAAATGTTTAACATTGTTGTTTTATTAAATGCCATTAAAAATACTTTTATTGTTAAATTATTGATTTTATGAGAGTATTAAGAAATATAATTGTGAATTATGAATCTGCAGCTTGGATGTTTTCAAATATTTTTGGCCTGTCTATCCTTGCTGTTTAGGTCTGTTAAATGATGAAAATGCTTAACGTGTCTAACAGACCAAAATATCCAGTAGTGACAAATATGACAAAAAATACTGAAAATTAATTGTATATAAGGTTCAATTTAGAAAATACCTACTGCGTAATATATTCACAAAACAAACCTCTATGTTATTTGTTGCAGATCTTGGCGTGTCTTATTTTTTCAAACTTTTAGTAGAGTATATAGTTCATGATAGAAAAAAAGTGTGTGTCTGTGCTGTCTATTAAAAACAAGCATGTGGTTTCTCTATCAGTGTCACAAACTAAAAGTTGTTACCAAGTTTTTAGCATTTTTTTTTATTATCTTTTTTAAATTAAACTCAAAGCGTGCCTATTAAATGAATAATCAGAAAACCTTAGCATTGTTTTATACAATTGTAACGTTCATTTTATTATTTATAAGTTGTGGCATTGTTAGAGAGGTGTGTGTACAATTAATATGTTTGGTATCAGCCTCAAGTGGGAGCAGTGGTGGTGGGGGTAGCGGAGGATTAGGAGTAAATCATCAGCGTACTTACTCATTTCCACTTTCTCCCATTCCCCCTACACGACGAGCTAGTACTGGTACTCGCCCCACTAAATACATCACCTCAACCTCGCCTCAATCTAGTACGTAATTTTTATTACATTTTATCTTTTTCTTTCTCTTATGTATTGTTTAATGAATAATTCTTGCGAATAAAGCGTTTCTATACAAAATGTGTATGTCTTACTAGTAATAAAATAAGTGTATTTTTTTGCTTCAAGTACAATTCAATGACTTACTAATTTTGTTAGGAACAATTAAGTTTGATTACATATTTCAATTTTATGCGATGTTAAATTGTGCCCCTTTTTTAGGATTAATTTTTTTTCCGTCACATTGTTCAACAGAAATCATTTAACTTTTATTGACAAAACTAAAATGTTAATTTATGCTTAGATTACTAATAATTTGATGATAGGTCTGACTGGTGTGAGAGGAAGAGCAGACACTATGCCTTCAAGGGCCAGGGCGACGAGTGAATGCAATCCTCACTTGCCTACCCCAAATCGAAATTTCACCTCTTCTCAATTTATGCAACATTCCTCGAACAACCGTTGCATAAGTTACTCTCCTCCAGTCGCATCGAGTCCAGTGAGGTAAGTAATAAAAAGAGACGGGGAGGAAGAGGCGAGGAATAAAAAATCAAACTGAAAATTTTTATCGCAGTCCTGCAAGTGCAGCCTGCTCCACCGATTCGGCAGGTTCTTCTTTGTCCATGGATGGCGACGCTATCGACGGACAGTGGGAAGATACAGGGCGCTACTGCCACTCCTTGACGCCAGACGAGCCAGTAATCCTCGAAGAAAATTCCGACGATTATAGTCCATGGCCTGGAATAAGAGGTAAATTTGTCCAAGCGCTTTAAAATTTAATGAAGTATATTTTTAAAAAATTTACTTTTTTAGAAGATGAGAAACTTAATAACTACGTACACTCAGAGCCGATGTTCAACCACAGTATTGACGGATATAGAAAAAATGCCACTAATACTGGAAAATCAAATTCTCCGTCACAGGTAAATTTTATTATAAATAATTATTGGTTAATTATTATTATCAATTTGTTGAAAATTAATGCCTTTATAGGGCTCATATTTGGACAGTCCTTGCGGTTCGTCACCATTGGACACGGGGAATTATCTCCCAATGAGTCCTGGTAAGCCATACTTATTTTTGTGCATTAAGTATTCAATATCAAAAGTATTTGTAAATATAATGTTATTTTAATTTAAAATTTTTTTAACATTTACTCAAAATTAATCATTTAAGAATTAAAATTGCTTACAGTTAAAAAATAAACAAATAAAAATAATAAATAAATAAAAAAAGATGTGGAGATTATTAATGCAGAAAATTAAATACAACACAACTTTTTTTTCTTAATCAAACGTACAAAAATGTTTAATTAAAATTTTGTGCGTTTTTAGCAGAGAACAGGGTGAACATTTTTGGAAGAACGACCATCAACCATAGCCGAGGCAGCAGCTTGGCTGAAGATGGATACGTTCCCATGGCCCCCGCAGCATCAGATGACGGTTACGTTGACATGGATCACGGATCTAATCGTAACCGATCTGGTAATTTTATAATTTTTAAATTTTTACCCTCGCTTATCAACACTCACACTGCCGTCGGTAAAAAAAAAGGACATGGACCACCGTGGCGTGTTTTTTTATATTCAACATTTTTCTCAACTAAAAAACTTCAATAATTTTTTTTTAAATTTACATAAAAATTTAAATATTTTTTTAAATGTTTATTTATTTAGTATGTGCATACGTGACTTACAAATAAATATTTTTATGCATATGCTAAAATTTCATTTACATTATATAATTTGACATTTTATAACAAATTTCATGTGTACTATAAAATTTCATTATTACATAACTATAATGATTATCATATATGAATTGCTTGCATGTATCACATCTGGTAAAATTTTTATTGCCAGAGGAAAGACAAAATTGACCGTTGAGAAAAACATTTTGTTCTTTTTCCTAACTTTGAAACTCTTTCAAAGTACCATCCGCACAAGTAAAAAACAAAGGTAGCATCTATTTTGGTCACTTGCTCACAGAAACTGAATACAAACTAAAAAGTGAGTGGTTTAGGGTAAATGGAAAAACCAGTACAATAGACATAAGGGTAAGGGATTAGGGTGCGAGCAGTAGGGCCTAAGAGTTTTTCGTACCTGAGGAATAAAGTGACTTATATTAAAAATTGTACTGGAAAAAAAAATGTCCTGAACCTATGATCAACAGGTATGAGCAATAACAATTAAATTTGTGTTCAAAATTTTCAAAGAAAATTACTTTATGTTCGGGAAAGACCTAATAGAAGGGAGAATACATTGGAGAGTAGATTATATATATTAAAAAAAAAAAAATAGACAACATAAATACAGTGGTGTGAGTGTTAATAATTTATTTTTTGTAACAGATCGTTATCAGAGTGGTGAACTCTCAACAGGTTCGAGCTGTTCCATCACTTCTGGCACTCCTTCCACTGACATAAGATTCAGCGAATATCAGTTGGATAAAGTCTCATCCTATTTCCCGGCAGAAGACGACATACCAAATAATGATAGACCAGTACGTGCATACTCGGTTGGATCTCGTCCTACAAACAACAAAAACAGGTAATGTCATAAGATGAAAAACCACTATATTTTAACATGTCCGTTACGGCACTAATTTATCAAAAGACAAGTTCGAAATACAGATTTTTTTTTAGAGTTTTGAAATATATTTAGGTTTATAAATGATCTTTAATTAAAATTTTGCTTAAAAAAAATTGTCCCTTTAGATTTTTGGGCATGGCCTGAAATGTTGTCTTTATATGGCAAATGTTGGGTTATGTAAACCAGCATTATCATAAAAAAAAATTGTGTATTTCTACTTACTATCCCTTAGTAAATTAAAAAAAAAAAAAAAAAATATATATATATATAGGGGAAGGTAATATATAAATAAATTCAAAATTAAAGGGGGTGTTGATGGCCACAAAGGTCACAAATTAGGTGTTGTCACGGCGCTCATCACTGTAAAGTCCTGGGTTTGAATCCTGAGGCCCCGCATTCAAACCTGACTTTCTCTCTTTTTTTCCTTTCTTTTTTTCAAAACATTGCCACCTCGTTCATAAAACTTCATAGTTGAAACATCCTCATATAAATTTAAAAAAAATTACATAAATTTATTACGTGTTTATCAAATTTATTTGAGATAATCACGAATAATTAAACACAATTGTTTTTTATATAAAATATGTTTTTGAAGCTTATGAAAGATTATTTAGAGGTTGTGATATGCGGTCTGGTGTGATGTAGGTTTAGAAAAACATTTTCTTTATCGTGCCAACGTTTCATCATTAATCATTAATTAACGGTCACTAAACACCACATACATTTTATTAAAATAAATAAAATCGGCAAGTGCGGTAAAAAATTTAAATAATTTAGAAATTTAAGAATTATTTCCATGCTGAAGTGGCATGCACAAAGCTGAAACAATAATTCAACAAACCCGTGAAAAAGTACCAAATAAGTGACTACACGGTTCAGCAAGAGTTCACCAACTTGCAAACCAACATGCATAATCAACTCTAATTATTATTTGACATATTTACTACCTATTAACATGCTGGACGTGCACTCCGACTTTTCTCTGTAGGGTCATGGAATGTTTTTCTGGGGCGTTGTCTGCCAACTCTTTGCTGTGGTATTACAATTTTTTTTTTAAATCATTAAAAAAGATCAAATTGGAAAAATGATCTTCTAAATAATGTTGACAAAGCAGTACTAAAGGCCTGGAAGCTAAGTTGAAATCAACATCTTACGTGCTTTGAAAGGGGGGGGGGTTCTAGAAGATTTGCATTGTTTTGGAATAATTTTTTTGTTAAAATTAATATAAATATTAATATCGACATGTTTATGACCTAGACGTATTTTTATTGTACTGTTTTGTACTAGGACGATGTAAAATATATTGAAAATAATACTAATGATATGGTGACACTAAAGAAATTTATGCCCATATTAATGTACAATTTTATGTTCCTGTTTTTATCATGTTTAATACTTGCAGAATAACTAAAAATTACACTTGATGGACCATTTGGTAAAAGTAAATGAATAACAAATTGTCAAAGTGTCACTATTACTAGCTTCAACACATATGGACAGATCAAAAATAGTCCAGCAGATAATCTATAATAGAAAATAAGAAGATTAAAGAATAACTTTATTATATATTTATTTGAGAATTTGGTTTTTCCAGATCGGAGATCATCTCTGCTAATACCTGTGAGAGGACAAGAGCGTTTTCAGTAGGATCAAAAAACGTGCGTCCTATAAACACTATGAGGCTTTCGATGATCAATCAACAACCTTTATCATCAAGCCACTCTTCAGTAGAGCCATGTGATGATATGATGGTTCTAGACTTTTCTAAGAAGCATAGATTTCGTTTTAGGAAGAAACTTTCGAGCAATGAAAGATTGAGCGTCCCTGGTGGAAGTGTGTCGACATTATCATCAACTGCCAGTTCCTATTCGACTGCAGAGGGCAGTTACATTGATATGTCATCGCCAAGGATTTCTCCATCGCTTGCCCCTTCACCTCCGAAGATGAGTCGTCTAGCTTCTTTCTTGGGAAAGTCACCTCCGAAACACTCTTTACAGGATATTCTTTCTATAAACAAAGCATCTCCTCCCGTCTCTGGATATCCTAGTCCGTCATTAGGAAGAGTACCAGAGACTGAACCAGGTTATGTCGAAATGACAGTCGGTTCGGACAGTTCTCAAGGGATGACAATTTCAAAAACTACAAATAAGAACAACAATCAAGATGACGCTTACGTGAATATGAAACCAGGAAATGGAACTGTTGTACCTGTAATCGCAAAGAACACAAATAAACCAAGGGTGGAAACTTTTCCTCTCATGGAAAATGTCAAAAACAACACTTTTACATCCAGTACGAGTAATGTATTTGGAGGAAGAAACAAAGACGATTATTTAGATATGTCATTGAAAAGAAAAATTCCTCTTATTGAAGACAACAACAATAGCAAAGTTATTGTTGACAATTCTTCCCCAAAGAACCAACCTGATGATTACGTCGAAATGAATTTAGGCAGTGATTCAAAACCTAAACCGAGCACGTACAGTGGAGAGGACGAGTCAGATTATTTAAACATGAGTGGCACAAAAGATACAAAAACGTCAGATAGTAGATATATTTCTCAGCCAATCACCATTCAATTCTCTTCAAAAGAAACATCGGTGAGTCCGATTTATTCGATCGCAGGAAGAAAACACTCAACAGGAACACCACCAAAAGTTCCTTCTTACCTTCCTCTCAGCAGTTCTCCATCTTCCATCACAAGTCCTTATTCGACAATGACCAGATCAAAACAAAGACCGAATCAAAGCAGGGAAGACAGCAGAGAAAGTCTTTTGACACCTACGCCTTCAGGTTCGACGATATTCCCGTTCAACCTTTGCAGTCCGGTTAATTCGCCCGAAAACTACGAATCTTCGCCAAAATGTCCGGTTGATGGAACTAGTGGAACAATACGATTGTCTTACGGAGACAATAGTCATTCTGAAAACGATTTGTCCACTCTTCATACTAGAAGTGAATCTGTCGGTGATTACGTGAACTATGACCCTAGAGGGCTGTCAAATACCGATCAAGAGTACACTCTGATGGAGCCGTCTAGGTCGTCGTTTTCGTCCTCCAGTCCCACGGCCATACCCTGCAGAAAAACCTCAGCGCCCTCGCTCGGGGCGGCAAAGTTGAAGCCTATGGAAAAACTGTTAAGCGGCCTGGGAAACTCCTTTAACAGCTTGTCCATGAGCTCTTCTACAGCAGCCAATCCTCCGAGTCCGATCAACAGTGAAAGTGACACAAGTACATTAGTTAATGAGTCTGTTTCACTCGTCGAAGAAGACATCGGAAAACAAGGTGAAAATTCTTCAAGAAAATCATCTCTAACTGGAATAGGGTAAGTGTTTAACGATGAGTGTTTTCTTTAAATAAAAAAAAAAAAATAGTGAATGTATAGTGCCATAAATTTGTGCAATATTTTCGAGCATGCCTTATTTTTACGTTATGTAGTTTAAAATAGAATTTTATTAAACAAATCACATTTCACTGCACTTTTTGATTGAAATAACTTATTAAATTGATAAATACATTTAATTTTTAATTCAAAAAACTTCTCTTTTGTTATATTTGATGAAAAATAAACATTTTAAAATTTATGTTAGGAATAAAGAACTTCATTATGCCTCCCTTGACTTGATGCGTTCAGGCTCTGAAAGCGAAGATTCAAACCGAACTCTCAAAACTCAAACGTCCCTAACTGAATCGTCATCAGCCTCGTCTCCCAGTCCCAATTTAACCACAGACGCGTCTGCGTTTAATTACGCGGAAATTGATTTCGTAAAAAGTGGTTCCTCCCAAAAAACAATACATTAACTTTAGTTGTTACGTATAAATTAAATGTTAGCTTGTACATAGGATTAAATGGTTTTAATGTGCTCTTCAATACATAAATCTGTTCAACCTTTAAAGTATTTATGAATTTAATTGGCGTTTCAATCTTATCCTCCAATATTAAGAAAAAATATTATTCAAATGTAAATATATAAATATAAAATATCTATATTTTTATCCATTATAAATGGGAAATAGTTTAATTTTGTTGAACTGATTGTGTTACATTGGATGTATCTGTACCGGCCGGAGAATTTTTTAGTAAATCGAAACTAATATTGAAAAATTATCGAAATTGAAGATCAAGTTATAAATCTAAAAAAAAATTAAATATATTATTTATTAAATAAATTTTTTGTTTAAAATTTTTTTAAGACAAAATAAATGCCATCCCGGTGAAATGGTCTTAACACTCTTAAATCAGTATTTTATTTTGAAAAAATATATTTATCGTTAAAATAGCCCAAGGTGTTTTTTACGACTTACTATATATTCACAGTTGGTACAGGTGTAAATTATGTAAATTTGGAATAAATTGCAATGTAATAATTGTTAGACAATTGGTGCATGGTTTATATATATAATATGTATATGACATACCATATATGTATGTATATGTATATCAAAAGTAATTAGTAAAAAAGTAATGATCCTAGTTCTTGAACAACTTTTATGTTAGAGTTGTTAGTAACATATCGTAAGTGATTATCGCATATAGGTCTGGTTTTTTTATTACCATTACCAGATAAATTGTTTGCACTGTAAATAATTAGTAGGACTTGATATTTACATATCATTTGAAAAAGGTGCAGGGTTTGTGATTCTTGTCGTTATGATAATTTAAGTGAAAAAAATCGGTAAGTTTTTAATTTAAATTAATCATGTTATAGTGAATGTTTGACACATTATGCTAAAAGATTGATAAAGACAATTGTTGAATTGTAGCACCTTTTCATTTGGATTATATAAAATACTATCACTATATGTATGACAATGTTCTCTTAAACATTTTATCTGGTGAAATACAGAAAAAAAATTTATCGTTGTTAAAACATATAACAGATTAAATAAAAGTGTTAAAATGCACCTGTCAGAGAAAAAGACATTCTAAATTTCAGTGTTCAGAGTGCCATTACAGTCCATGTAAACATTTTTAATTAAAAAATAACTAAAAAGTAATAACAGTTTTAAATTGAAGAAGGGTATTTTATTATGTACATATAAAAAGTTGACTGATAATCGTATATTTATAGTTAATAATTTGAGCTGCCGTAAGTCAAAATTTCTCAGGTGCATGTCTTGTCTTAATTTAAAAAAAAGTTTTAAAAAGTAAAAAAAAAAAAGCTCATAATATAATGTCTCAATAGAATGGTTGCCAATTTTCCTCAGATCTTTTCATACTACTGAATATTTAATAATATCATCGTTAAATTTAATTTTAAAGAGTTTTTCTACCTGATTAAATAAATAATGATCTTGTCCTTAATAATAATTAAATAAATAAAATCAAGTGTTCATAATTGCGTCCTTCAATACTTTTTAATTTTTCATTTCAAATATTTAGGTGTAAAACTAGGCAACCATTTACTTCTGTAAACTTTTTTAAAGTTAAAGAGTTATGAAATTTAATATATATAAAATAAAATTTAAAAGAAAAGAGAAAAAAAAGTAAATGCAAAAGACTTATTAAATGTTTATACATAAACAAATGTTAAGGTCTAGGATCTGTACATAATTGTAATTTATGTTTTATTTGTAAGTAATTTATGTTAATATTGCTCTTTATTTATAATGAAAAATAAAGTCTGCTTTAGGCTCATTAGGTAAATAAGTGTTTTCTTTTATTTTTCTTTTTTTTTGAGATAAGCTTTAACTTAAGTCATATCTTTAAAATAAAAAATATATTATTACAAAAAAATTAAAAGATTTGCATAATGTTGTTAAAACCTTTTTTTTTTTTTTTTCATTTCAGTATCAGCATTTTAATTTGCTTAATGCATATTGCATAATTGGATTTAATCAAATGTAAGGCAAAAGTTTTATGATCGTTTTGTACTGGTCTTTGTTTTAAAGGGCTTAATCGAGCACTTAATTTTTAGAGGAAGAAAAAAAATTGCTTGACCTTTTTTTAATGACACAAAAACGGACACGATAGGACTGATTTTTTTACACGATGAACTTAGATTTTCGTATTTTGAGTAAAAACTCGATACAAGCTGAAACACTTTTGAAATATTCCCAACGTTCCAACCATTTGACATTTAAAAAAAATCCAGTAGATGTGAAATCACAGGTGAAATGTCCAAATGTAATAAAACGATACACTTTTTTTTTTTCTTCGTTTTCATTTCATCACACTCCTGTGTTCATCCTCATTTTGTTTAAACATGGATCTCTGATACATCAAACATCTGTTCTATAAATGTTTTGTTGTTAATAAATAATTAAAATAGCAGAATTATTCAAATATAGTGCAATACAAGCGAATGGCAGAAATATAAGGGTGAAAATAATTCAGTTATAGTGCAATATAAGCGAATGACAGCTATATGATTTTTTCCTTCTTGAATATGCATTTAACAATTTCATTTTTAAATACTCACATGGATTTTTAAAAGACACTTTAATTTTTTAAATTATCATTCCTTTTTAAATAGTTTTAGTTACCCAGGTCCTTTTCTGATGTGCAAATAGTTACCAATTGTAGATCAAATTTTAACTTCAGCTATTCAGAAGTTTTTTTCTTTTCTTTTTATTTAACGTAACATTATCTCTTATTATTTTTTGAAATGCATAAAATCACAGTAAAAATATAGTATAAATATTCATGATTTTTTTTTTTTAATTAACCAAAATTATTAATATATGTAATAGTCGGTGTAGATTTTTTTGTTAGAGACATGCTCATTTTTTGGTACATTAAGTTTTTAATTGCTCAATCATTTTATTGATCGATTAGTTGTTAAATATCAGTACTTTCTGGTGAAAATTTCATGTCATTCTGATATAATTGTCATTCGCAAAGCAGGCTTTATTTAACGTTTGGAAAACTTGTAAAAAAAATCTTGTTTAAAACTAGCTACTCCATGTATTGAATGTAATATTGACTTCATTATTTTTTACAATTTAATTTTGATTGTCATTTATGATATGAGTAATCATTAGAAGTGTTTAGTTTATACAATTTATTTCAGTATATGATTGACCAGGAGTAAAAAAAATTATACTAATAAATAAGGCACTATAAGTGGTTGTAAGGGATATTTACTTATAAAACTTAAAAAAAAGCTTTTACAGTTATATAAATTAAATATCATACTAAAAATAAAAATGGGAAAAATTTGTAACATTGTACAAACTTATCGTTACCCTATGATAACTGCCAAGTATTCCAACGCTGAGACTATTTGATATAAATAAAATATAAGCTTAATAATTTTCAGTTAATTTGAACATTCTCTCTCTTTTTTATTATTATTATTATTATTATTTTTTTTTTTTTTTAAATTGGAAATATGCATTTCAGTTATACCATGTGGGGCGTTTGTCCAGAAATGTTTTTTGTGGTGCAAGCATCATTATAGTTTAAGAAAAATATATCTATATTATACGTAGTGGTGTTTTTCCCCGTTTGTATCCCGCCTGACTTTTATTTTATTTTATTTCCTTATTTATTATAGCAAAGACGAAAAAAATATTGTCACTTTTGTGGGTGATTCAAGAGAAATATAATTATGATAATTTACTCGTGCAAATTTAATGTAAACAAGATTAGCACATATAAAATATACACATTTTTTGAGAAATTGGTGTTACTCTTATAACTAACAACTTATTGAAAATGATATTTTAAATATAAAAGAGTTTGCATTTCTATGCAATAAAAATCCTTTTAGTAAGCACTAATAAAACCTTAAAAGCATGAATTTTAAAATAACCCAGATATTTTTTAAAATAGCACATAATCATTTTGAAAGGAAAAAGGTTTCCACTGATTGTAGCCAGTACTGGCCAGTCTTTTATTTCCTAGACTCAACCAGGAGCATTAGATTGCCAGATCTTGGGAGGTCCCATGAGCCTTGGATGGAGTTGCCATTAACGAAGATGTAGACACCACTAGCTGACTAGGGCTCAGGTGCGGTATGACAACCCTTCAGGAAGACTAAAACTAAGGATTCAGGTGGGAACGATGATCCTTGCTGACTAAGCTGTATAAGTGACCTCACAAGGTGAGACATTGGCTGCATGTGCCTTGGGTAAAACAGCATTTACAAGCCTAACTTGAAGGTGCATTGGACATTAGGCTAGACCTGGGGTGAGGTGTCACAACTTTTCTATCTCCTGATGACATACTCCTCAGGAAGACAACCAAGAACTCAGCTGGGTCTTCTCACTGTTTTTCTTTCACTTAGGTTCCCACTGACGGGCTCCGATACAGGCCAGTCTTATATTCTGAGAGTTCAGCCAGGAGCAGCCTCAGGTTGCGAACCTTATGGCAATTCCTGACCCTTGCTGACTAAGCGTTATAAGTGTCCCCAGATGGTGAGATCTGGGCCAATGAGCCTTGGATAAAGCAGATTTTTAGAAAGCCGAGGACATTAGTAGGTGACTACGCCCCGGGTGTGGTGTGACAACTCCTCTTCTGATGGCTCCGTGGGAAGTAACCTAAGGACTTGGTGACAGATCTGACTCTCAACCAGGCCAATAAATCATGAGACTGATGGTCCGACAGGCCAGTCTTACACCATGGAGCAACCTTGAGGTGTGAGGTTTCGTAGGCGTACACCATGGATCCTTGCTGATGAGGCTGTATATGTGGCCCACTAGATGGTCTTCGCCCATGAGTCAGATGAAGCAGGTATTTATAAACTGTGGTAATATTCTTCACATATGGATAAAATTTAGACCATTGTACTACTGTGGTATGATTCGGATAAAGATCTGATTGTCATGGCCATGTTAGCAAAAATTATATACAATTGCATACGAATCTACTCATTATTATATTAAAATTTAAAACATTTTTAGTTGAACATTTATAATACAATATTTCTGCATTATGTGTTATGAACATTATAAGAAAATATCAAAACTTCAATAAACTATTCAACTGGTTCAGTCTATAGTTAAAAATGTTTAAGGTTTCTAGTTTTATATTTTTTAGGCAATGTTGCCAATTAAAATAATTAAAAAAATGTACAACAAAACTTACATGTGATAAAACTTTCAAACCATGTGAACATGTTATTTTGCATGAATGAGTTCTCATCAAAATTGATAGTGGACATAACACTCAAAAATGTTAAATTTTTCGCGTAAGTTGTTTTTTGTTAGGAAATACTTTTCATTTGTTGCCACATGTCAGCAAAGGTAAGTGTTTTGTTCTGTATTATTTTCCTTTTTTCATCGTGAAAGTTGAAACACTGTGATTAGCTTACTTGATTTAGAAATTTATATTCAAGTTTGTATTTCATTTCAGAACTTTTTTCCGTGGTTCAGATAAGAAAAAAGATGATATGGTTTGCAAGCAAGACAGCAAGAGCACAAATTGCTTATTTGATATGTGCTCCCTTAATCCCGATATACAACAACCCTGCGTCATTATTATTGGTGCCGGGATGGCTGGTCTATCGGCTGCCAAACGGCTTGTCCAGTGTGGGATTACCAACTTCAAAATACTAGAAGCGAGTGAAAGGTAAAAACATATTTAAAACATTTTATTGTAATTTTGATTTGTACTAATGGAAAGAAAATTCTAGACCAGGAGGACGGATCAAGACATGCTGGTTAGGAGATGCGGCTGTAGAAATGGGTCCGGATGTCATTAATGGTGCAAGCATAGCAAATCCGGTTTATACGATGGCTGCACAAGAAGGATTGTTCACACCTCCACTTACTCGGCTTTCTCCGCAGACCACTATGTTTTTTACTAGTGATGGGAGAGCTATTGACGTCGACCTTGCGAATAAAGCTTCAGCGACATTTAAAAATCTTGAAGCAAAGGCTGCAAATTTGTTTTTCGTAGAAAAAAAGATTCATAATCAAACATTAAGCGCTTATCTTGATTCTCTGATTGTAGAAGAACTTAAAAAATTACCAGAAATTGAGAGGTATGACACAGCGAGAATTTTCTACGGTATGAGTAATGGGCTGAAAAGTAAAATTGGTGAAGATCTCGACAAGGTCAGTTCGACTATATTTGGAAGTCTGCATTCTCTTCCTGGTGGTGATGTTAAAATCCCTTTGGGCATGGGCGGTCTCTTGGCTCCTCTGCTAAGGAATCTTCCCAGGTGTGCGGTTCATTATTGCAAACCGGTGCAATGCATCAGATGGGGAACGGCAGGCTCCGGAGTGCCCCGGGTTGTGGTTCGTTGCTGTGATGGGGAGGAATTCCCAGCAGATTATGTGATTGTTACTGTTTCACTGGGTGTCTTGAAAAACAAAGCAGATCTTTTATTTTGCCCTGGATTACCAGCAGGAAAGATGGAAGCTATAAGAAACTTAGGCTTTGGGAATTTGAATAAGATTTTTATATATCAAGAAAGTCCTTTCTGGGTGCCCGGAACAGGAGGGATCCGGTTTGCTTGGTCTCCACAAGAATTGGCCGAAAGAGGAGATTGGGTTAAAGGTATATCAGGTCTATCTGGGGTAGAGGGAAGTGGAAAAGTTCTCCAAGCCACTGTTGCCGGCGAGGAAGCTAGGATAATGGAAAGCAAATCAGATGCAGAACTTGTTGCAGATCTGAATAAAGTAATACAATCTTTCATGGGCAACAGTGGAATAAAATTATCAAAAGATATCATGAGAACTGACTGGTCCACTAATCAATTCTTCTGCGGAGCTTTTACGTACTTAGGAATTGATTCGACCGTCGCTCATATTGCCGATCTTGCAAACCCATTGCCTGGCGAGTGTGATGAAATACCTCCGATCATTCTCTTCGCAGGGGAACACACATCAATAAAATATTTCTCGACCTTGCACGGCGCACGAGAATCTGGTATAAGGGAAGCCGACAGAATTGTGTCCTTGACAAAAAAGCTAGGGGGTCCCCCTTTTAGAAGAGTTTGCATTCCATGCAAAACTAGACCTTCTCATTTTGTCGCTGCAAGTTGATGTGGCTTTATGACTTTTAACTTACAAAAATTGTAAAAACACGTGATTGTGATTAATGGAAAAAACATGTGATTGTAATAAATTGTTTTATTTTGTCATTTAGTATTTATTAGTTAAACATATGTTTTAAACTTTTTTAATGTCAGTTTTACAATTAATGCAAGAAACTAAAAATGTAATTTAATGGATACAACAAACCTATAATTCTTGTTTTTTGATAACAAAAAGTAAAAAAAAAATTGTAAGTGTATAAAATAAGGATTCAAACCCAAGACCCATATAGCGATCAGTCCACACCTATTGAAAAATAATACCTCAATATGTATAATAAATTATAGTGAGTAAATAATTTTTTTATTTGAAGGTTCACATTTTTCATAAAAAAATAAATAGATGTATAATTTTTTTTTTCAACATCACATCAAATTTAGTAGGTACAATTCTTCAAGTAGGAAAACATTCTTAAGTTAAAGTGTTATTGATTCAGTAATTGTTTCAAGATAGTACTCCCACTTCAGGTCACATATTAATATTATGTAAATAATTTATGACTAGCTCTCCCCTGTCTACCACATCGACTAAATTGTCAATATTATTGATTTAAAGTATGAATAATTATTATTGTTGTAATTGTTCCTGTGATGGTAAGGAGGGGAGAAAGTGTATTTCAGATTATTATATTACCAAGTATAATTTTTATTGCCTTTGCCCTATGGAGAACAGTCAATATTCTGGATAATATTCTTATTTCATTAATTATTCTGTAAATGAACATAAAATTTTAGAAATTTATGTATCTCTTGAGCAACAATGAGCTCCTGGCATTGCTATTGGCTTACATTGAATACTCATTAGAAAAAATAAAATCTTAGTTTATGTTTTATATGAATAATTTATTTGTTAATTATACTGAAATTAAAATCAAGCTGTGTATGACACAGAGGTCCCAAAATATTTTATGCCTAGGTACAAGGAGTTCAGTAATCGTTGGGGGAGAGTATACTCCAGGGGTACGTGCTGGACATAACATTATTTAACTGATTACTGATTTATATAAGCTTAAATCCATACATGCATGTGCATAGCTACACAAGGGCTATCAACAGCTAGGTCTTTTAAGCACCTAATTCCTAAATCCATTTGCACGGTTAAGGTGGTGGAGAATGTGATGTTCTTCCATCACTGTCATATGATTAAAAGAAAGTGACTGCATAAGTGGTCCAGATCGGCAGAACTCGCACGTGTCAAGAGTGAAAGGTAAAAGAAGAGTGATCATCCTCACCCGATTAATAATAGATAATGCGTGGTTGTCACATGGACACTTACTTTTGGGCCAATGCCTGTGTCTGTGTTCAGCAAGCAGAGAAAGGTTGCTTGATACATCCCAAGCAATATGGTTCCAAATAGAGTAGGAATGAGAAATGTGCTTGAGCATGAGAGCAGAGTATTTGGATCACCAGTTCCTCTGGAAGGAACAGGGTTGTTTTATTGTGTATAGTAATGATAGTTGTGATGATGTGTCTGATATGTATTGAAAGTGAATGTAGTGTGAGGGCCGATGGGAACTCAATAATCTGTCTGAGATGGATTGCTAATAAAAATAACAATAGAACTTAGTTTATACTTGTTTGATTATTTATTTAATTTTTTTTTAAAGACAATCTTTTCAAGTAGTAAAAGATCTAGAGTTCTTGAGCCCTTAAAAAAAATGTATCACTCAAAGAAGACAAGAGTCAATAGTAGAGCTCGTTACAGATAAAGAGATAATGGTAATTTAAAAAGGAAATGAGCCTGCTTTTTTTCCGGTTTTGATAATTTGCTCTTGGTCTACTTGCGACGTATATCGTTTAGGATTTTTTAAATATTTGGTTCAACGTGCTTAAGGATTTTTTCAAAACTTTTGTGTTGGATATTTTTTGGCTGTTTGTAAGGAGATAGGATTTTCTGTAATTTTAGCTTTTCATGTTAGGTACAAAAAGGAAATGGGCCTGTTTTTTTTCCCTGTTTTGATAATTTGTTCTTTATCAACTTAAAACATATATCGCTTAGGATGTTTTTGATATATTTTTAAGGATTTTTACAGAAAAATTTATGTTGGATATTTTTCAGTAGTTTTTAAGATGACAGGATTTGTTTAATTTTGTTTTTCTGGGTGGGTACAAAAAAGAAATGAGTGCAATTTTCTTGTTTAGATAATTTGCTCTTTATCACTTTGAAACGTATATTGTTTAGGATTTTTTTGATATGTAGTTCAATGTGCTTAACGATTTTTTCAAAACTTTTTATGTTGAATATTTTTGGGCATTTTTTAACAGGATTTTCTGTTGAATTTTGTTTAATTTGGAACTTTCAAAGTGGGTACAAAAAAAGAAATGGGATTGATTTCTTCTTGTTTATGATAATATGCTGTTCGTCAAGATGAAAAGTATATCCTTTTTGATTTTTTTGGATATGTAGTTTAACATGCTGAAGGATTTTTATAAATTTTTTATGTTGGATATATTTTGGCTGTTTTTAAGGTTACTGGACTTTCTGCCGAGAGTCTGTTTAATTTTGGTTATTCAGGTTGGGTATAAAAAAGAAATGAGCCTGCTATTTTTCTTGTTTTGATCATTTTCTCTTGGTCAAACTTGAAACGAATATTTTTTGGAATATTTTTTATATTTGATTCAACATACTTAAGGATTTTATCAAAACTTTTTAGGTTGTATATTTTTTGCTAGTTTTTATGGTGACAGGACTTTCTGCTGGGCTTTTGTTTAATTTTGACTTTTCAGGGTGGGAAAAAAAGAAATTTTTGATTTTTTTTTTTATAATTAGCTCTCGGCCAATGTGAAACATATATCCTTTATGATTTTTTTTTAATATGTAGTTTAATGTGCTTAAGGATTTTTCCTAAACTTTTTGGAAGTTTTTAAGATGACAGGATTTTCTGTGGGGATTTTGTTTAATTTTGGCTTTTCAGGGTGAGTACAAAAAAGTAATGCGAATGATTTTTTCTTATTTTCGATATTTAGCTCTTCGTCAACTTGAAACGTATATCCTTTAGGAATTTTTTCAATATGTAGTTCAGCTTAAGGATTTTTATAAAACTTTTTATGTTGGATTTTTTTTTGGCAGTTTTCAAGGTTTTAATCAGGATTTTCTGTTTGATTTCTTTAATTATGACTTTTCAGGTGGGTAAAAAAAGGAAATTATGAGAATGATTTTTTCTTGTTTTTGATAAATAATTTTTGATCAACTTGAAACGTTGATAGGATTTTTTGGATATGTAGTTCAGTATCCTTAAGAATTTTATCAAAACTTTTTGGAAGTTTTTAAGATGACAGGATTTTCTACTGGTATGCTGTTCAATTTAGGCTTTTCAGAATGGGTAAAAAAAGGAAATGAGAATGATCTTTTCTTATTTTTGATAATTAGCTCTTTGGCAACTTGAAACATATATCCTTTTGGATTTTTTTGATATGTAGTTCAGCGTGCTTATGGATTTTTCCTAAACTTTTTGGAAGTTTTTAAGATGACAGGATTTTCTGTTGGTATTTTGTTCAATTTAGGCTTTTCAGAATGGGTAAAAAAAGGAAATGAGTATGATCTTTTCTTATTTTTGATAATTAGCTCTTTGGCAACTTGAAACACATATCCTTTCGGATTTTTTTGATATGTAGTTCAGCGTGCTTATGAATTTTTCCTAAACTTTTTGGAAGTTTTTAACATCGACAGGATTTTTTGTTGGTATTTTGTTCAATTTAGGCTTTTCAGAATGGGTAAAAAAAGGAAATGAGAATGATCTTTTCTTATTTTTGATAATTAGCTCTTTGTCAACTTGAAACGTATATCTTTTTGGATTTTTTTGATATGCAGTTCAGCGCACTTAAGGATTTTTCCTAAACTTATTGAAAGTTTTTAAGATGACAGGATTTTCTGCTGGTATTTTGTTCAATTTAGGCTTTTCAGAATGGGTAAAAAAAGGAAATGAGAATGATCTTTTCTTATTTTTGATAATTAGCTCTCCGTCAACTTGTAATGTATATCCTTTAGGATTTTTTCGATATGCAGTTCAGCACGCTTAAGGATATTCCTAAACTTTTTGGAAGTTTTTAAGGTGACAGGATTTTCTGCTGTTCAATTTTGGCTTTTCAGAGTGGGTAAAAAAAAGGAAATGAGAATGATTTTTTCTTATTTTTGATAATTAGCTCTTCGTCAACTTGAAACATATATCCTTTAGGATTTTTTCGATATGCAGTTCAGCGCGCTTAAGGATTTTTCCTAAACTTTTTGGAAGTTTTTAAGGTGACAGGATTTTCTGCTGTTCAATTTTGGCTTTTCAGAGTGGGTAAAAAAAGGCAATGAGAATGATTTTTTCTTATTTTTGATAATTAGACCTTCGCCAACTTGAAACGTATATCCTTTAGGATTTTTTTGATATGTAGTTCAACGTGCTTAAGGATTTTTATAAAACTTTTTATGTTGGATATTTTTTTGGCAGTTTTTATGGTTTTAGATAGATATCTTGTTTGATTTCCTTCAATTTTGGCTTTCAGGGTTGGTAAAAAAAAGGCAAAATTCGTTCTTGACCCAGTCCACGTGTAAAACGAGAAAAATCAATGTGGAAGCAGTTCTCGAATCCGCCGCGACGTGCTATTCCACGGATCTATTATTACAACGTCATGTGACGGCGCTACGTGTTAAAAAAGATGCTTTTATTTTTTTAAACGAGCCATCCCTTTTTCCGATAATTGTAAATAATTAAGAAATTCAAAGTATCCAAGGGAAGCCGGAGGGGAATTATCGATCCGGCTCGACGTTAAGCCATGTGGCCGAACAGTGCTCTCTGTTTCTCCTGAATGAACACACCACTGAACCTCCTCTCTCCTCAAACATGTGAGTACTGAATTGTAATTGTTTTTTTTCTCTTCGAGATAAAATTGATTATTTGTTTATAAATAACACGTATATTGACCGGCAAGTATATGTCGACGATATTACACGATGTGGCGAACATAAATCGCCCCGTCCAATAATCGTTTACCTGCATAACACAACATAAATTCAATTTTATCCAAAAGGGACTGTTAAGGTTTATCCCTAGAAGACTGACCTAAGCGATCAATAAATTTCAAAGGTTATGAAATACTACATTACGAAAGATTACCTGCCTTAAATAAGATTTTTTTTTCTTTTACTTTAAAACCCAAGAAAAAAAGGTATTGGGAAAAAAATGCGCAGGGCTTTACCGGTGTTTTATGATAAAACGTGCCGCAAAAGCTACCGACCCTTTTTCCCCTCATTTCTCCTGGCTCTCTTCCAGGGTTAAATGGACAATCTTGCCAGGGACGAAGGCAGTTTGTTGCCTTTTTAAATTAATAATCGTTGGAATTGCGACTAAATTCGCAAAAGAAACGGCCCCCCTCAGAGCTAACGGTAGACAATTAATCTTTTACGACTCAACCCTCAATTGTAGCAGCAAGGGGTGTCCAAAACAATTTATTCCTATATCTCGGAATATAATGCATATTCCGACATAAATGGATTCAATTAACCGACATTTTAAATCACATTGTAATATCCCCAGGAATAAATGCTAAAAATATATTTCACCATTTTTAACACTTATTACAAAGAATTATTACGTTTTAAGTTTCTTTTATCATATTAGATTTATTTAATTTCCGTACAATTTTTTCATATCGCATGACCATTATTTAGATGGTTGTATTCGGTCCTAAATGGTTTGAGGATTTTTTAAAGTTATTTTGGCGGTCACGTTGCAGTCTTTTCACAGATCGATTTTTATATTAGATAAAACAATATGCTCGATTATAATGGATTTATTTTAAATTTTATGAGAGTCACATAAATTTTCTCAGATTTGGTACGATGATCATTGTAATCTGCCCTAGATGGATTTCTAGAATGAAAAGCAAATATTTGCTTGCTGAAAATGTAATTATACAACGTTTCTAAAGTAACATTCTAATACGAAGGCTTGACATTAAATTTTATTATTTTTTAGCATATCATAATTTTTTTTGGTGGACCGATTGCAATCCGTCATAGACCGATTTGTATATTAGATAAACTAGTTTTCGGGTTATTTTTACCATTTTTTCAACACAAAACGAACAGATTATGCTTGCTGATATTGTATATGTAATTGTCCTAGATCAATTTGCCTACAATTATATTTTTAGCATATTTATACCGAAGATAACATTGTAATCTGCCCTAGACGGATTTATAGCACAAAACATAAAGATTGTGTCCAAAATAATTTATCCCTACAATATCTCAGAATATAATGCATATTCCAACATAAATTAATTCAATTAACCGACATTTTAAATCACATTGTAATATCCCGTAGAATAAATATAAAAATATGTTTCACTAATTTTTAAAACTTATAATTATTACATAAACCATAACTATATTTTTACCAAACAATTTAATTATATTGATGTTCAAATTTAAATCTAAACCTATTATTATATTTTAAGTTTCTTTTAGCAAATTAGTTTTTTCGTACAATTTTTCTTATGGCATGGCCATTATTTAGAAGGTTATATTCGGTCCTAATTGGATTGAGGATTTTTAGCATTTTTCATTATTTTCGTGGTCACTTTGCAATCTATCAGATCGATTTGTACAGTAGATAAACTAATTTTTGGGTTATTTTTATTTTTCATCACAAGACGAACAGTTTACGCTTGATTATAATGGATTTATTTTAAATTTTACGAGGCACTTATAATTTTTCTCATATTTGGTACGATGATCATTGTAATCTGTCCTAGATGGATTTCTTGAATGAAAAGCAAATATTTGCTGAAAATGGAATTGTCATTTTTCAACAGTGACATTCAAATGCGAAGGCTTTATATTAAATTTTATTATTTTTTAGCATATTCTAATTTTTTTGGATTGAGGATTTTTAGCATTTTTAGTTATTTTGGTTAAATATTTTTTAGCGTATTCTATTTTTTTGTCCCGTTGCAACCGTCATAGACCGATTTGTGTATTAGATAAATTAGTTTTTGGGTTATTTTTATTATTTTTTCATCATTATCTTGCTGATATTGTGCATATCTGATTTATTTAAGTTTTATGAGTTATATTATACATTGTATATACAGTTATATTGTAAATTGTCGTGGATCAATTTGCCTATAATTATATTTTTAGCATATTTATTTCTATGGTCATATTGTAATCTGTTCTAGATGCATAAAATCTATAAGATTATCCTTCCTGATGTTGATCATGTGGGGATTTTTTATTTGTCGACAGTCACTTCGAATTACGAATGACGATGGCCAGAACTGAAATTTTAGTTTCGTTTGAAGTTTTAAAATACAATTCTATTTTTATGTTTGACTAAAACTAAGCAATTTTGATAAATAACCGTTTTCCCAAACAAAATATTTTCGATGATATTGGATTTATGTTAAGTTTTAGGACCCTGACATTCTGATACGCACATCGATAGACCAAATTTCAGGTTCATCACCTCACAGATCACACTAAGTAATATCAATTTAATATAATTTAGTCATCATGCATGTTCAATATAGGTTGGGAAAAATGTGGTCATATTGAAATCTCTACTAGATAAATTTGTCCATTAATTTTTTTTAGTACTATAGTAAATACTATATTTTTTTGTAAAAATAGTTTATGTTTACTTTTAGGCGTATAAGTTATCAAAGAAAATTTTTATCTGGTGCTTTTGAGAGCTCCCTCCCTTAAACCATTTTTCTTTACTTGTTTAGTTGTATTTTTTTCTATTGTTTTGTATGATAGAAACTATTTCGTGAGTGAGTATAGTTGATCAATGTAAATGTATGCTTTCTGTTAGGCAGTATCTGCACACCACCTGTTCTTTAACGGCCATCCTTTTGTACGTTGAGCCATGAGTTAATAAAACCTGTTATACTTTTATATTTTGTGAAATTTCTTTTATGCAGTCAGTACGAGATAGCTTATTGTTTTATTTTCTCTCCCAAAAATGTCTATGATAATTTAAATTCCCTTCCTGCTTATCATCCTTTCTTGCTCATGATCATTTCCCTAATTTTCTCTGTATCCTGAGGCCCAACAGAGTGTGTTCCTGTTTTGCATACTTAACGTGTTTAGTTTGGTTTTACAATTCAGAATCATCTTCGGGCTTACGTTCGGGTTCAGTGCCCTGCTCCCCCAGTATCAAATTTTTTTGTATACTCAGTTCAAATTTAATTGATCACATCTGTCAAGTGCATGGGCTCTCGAAAGACAAGCCATTCGTGTTTTATTATTTGACTTTATCCTGTCCTGTGATTCTTACAATATTGAATGAAATGAGATTTGACCTGGTGATTATTGTCAAACCGGTCTTGCCCCAATGAAACAATTTAGATTACCGAGGATTCGTCCATTTTATAAAATCTATAAGGATCTGGTTCTGACTGTTATGATAGAAATACAAATATAAACAAAATTGAACTTTTCCAGCGTAAGATTATCTGGGAATGCAAATTATCTCTGAACTTTTAACTTGATAGGTTCACAATGTCAATGTCAAACACACCAACCAATTTCAAGATTGATAATTAACCGAGAAATGATAATTAACAAAACGTTTCGACAAATACTGATTAACAGTCTATGGCATGAAGAACATAAAAATTATTATGTTCTTTTTTAGAGTACTTTTTTTTAACTTTGGGGGTTGAATAAGGATTTAAAAAACCCTTTCCTCCACTGCTAACTGTATACACTGAGAGGAAAAAAAAAGTCAACACCCTTAATATTTGTTGAAGTCGTGAGGAGCTGTCAAGAATGAGGTAGTTTGGAAAAACACCTTTTTCATTTTTTGCCGATGTTTCGACCTTTATTCGGGTCATCTTCAGGGCCTGGGTAAATTACGAAATATATCTTGATTGGAAAAAATACAATTTAAGATGTAAATATAAATTTTTGGTGCTATTCTTGTGGTGACATATTGGTGTTATATAACACTTTCACCCAACACCAATATGACACCACAAGAACAGCACCACACTTTAAGTGAGTATGAAATATTTGGTTCAAAATTTAAGATGTAAATATAAATTTTGAACCAAATATTTTATTCTCACTTAAAGCGTGGTGCTATTCTTGTGGTGACATATTGGTGTTATATAACACTTTCACCCAAAACCAATATGACACCAAAAGAAAAGCACCACGCTTTATGTGAGAATAAAATATTTGGTTCAAAATTTATATTTACATCTTAAATTTTGAACCAAATATTTCATACTCACTTAAAGTGTGGTGCTGTTCTTGTGGTGTCATATTGGCGTTGGGTGAATGTTTTATAACACCAATATGACATCACAACCATAGCACCAAAAATTTATATTTAAATCTTAAATTGTATTTTTTTCCAATTCATCTTCGGGGACTGGGTAAAGTTGATTGGAAAAAATACAATTTAAGATGTAAATATAAATTTTGAACCAAATATTTCATCTCACATAAAGTGTGGTGCTATTCTTGTGGTGTCATATTGGTGTTGGGTGAGTGTTTTACAACACCAATTTGACAGCACTACAATAGCATCAAAAATTTATATGTACATCTTAAATTGTATTTTTTCCAATTCGTCTTCAGGGTCTGGGTAAAGTTGAGTGGTGTCAAATTGGTGTTGTAAAACATTCACCCAACGCCAATATGACACCACAAGAACAGCTCCACACTTTATGTGGGTATGAAATATTTGGTTCAAAATTTATATTTACATCTTAAATTGTATTTTTTCCAATCAACTTTACCCAGGCCCTGAAGACGAATTGGAAAAAATACAATTTAAGATGTACATATAAATTTTTGGCGCTATTGTAATGGTGTCAAATTGATGTTGT